CGAGTCAGAACTGAAAATTCCCTCCTGGGTCTCAGCTCTTTCCCCAGACGAACGGTTGTCACTCCATCTCCCCTGCTTGCCTGGGCTTCCGGTAGGGGAGATGGATGGTCCCTGGACCCCCGAATTCAAACTGGGGTGTGTGTGTGTGTGTGTGTGTGTGTGTGTGTGTGTGTGTCTTGCACATTCAGTCTTGCAGTCCGGAGACTCGGTGACAAGAGGGAAAACAGCAGAGAAACCCTTTCTGTACATCTTGCCCCCGCGGCCGCCCCCGCGGCCGCCCCCACGCGCGCCCCCACGCGCACCCTGCAGCTGCTCCCGTGTCCCTGCGCGCCGAGGGTGGCACTTGCCGCAGTCACACCGTCCTCGCGAACGGTCTTTCTCCCAGGCCGACCAACTGCGTGATGCCAGTCCCTACCAAATTTGAATTGATGACTCAACTAAAGAATTAAAATTAGCAAGGCAAGAAAATTCCAAATGAGGTGAGAAAGCTGTGGAAATAGTCCCAGATCCCCTAGTACCGAGCCATTCAATATCATTTCTGATGACAGGACAGAGCTAGGAACATTCCATGTGGGTGTGAGTCTTTTTCATACGCGGAGAGCTGAGTTAAGTTTTCAAAAAAAATTTTTTTAAAAGAAAATAATACATGAATCAGGAGCAGTGTCTTGGGTTTTAACCCCTTGCGGGCTGCAGCTGTGAAGACAGCAGGCCATGGGTCCTCTTAGGTTTCCTAGGGCTTGTCCGTGCTCCACGCAGGTGACCAAGAGGCAGACGGACTAACCTGTCAAGCGCAAGTGTCACTGACAGACACACATAAGGTACCGATGGTGTCATGTGTGAATGAAGGCAGTGGTCGCTACGTTCAGTACCTGCAGAGAACCAGCCAAACAATTGTTCACAGGCAAGCGTTGTGGGCCCGCCTCTGCTCTAAGGTGGCGGAGCAACCCCCTGCCGCACCCCCCTCCCAATCCAGCAGGCAAGGCCTTCACGGACTGTCTCTGGCGCTCAGAAATTTGCAGTGATGTTCAGAAGCGACATGGAATAGTTCCAGGAGATATGCCAGGAAGCCCAAAAGACCTCTTCCGTCTTGTTATGCTTCTGGATGGGACGGCTCCTGGAGCTTCCAGAACTGGAGCAACGGCTCTCGGGACCCTCTTGGGGGCCTTATTCATGTGCACATAAATAGGGCTTGCTTAGTATCTCCACTGCGGTTTCCTCGAGAGTTACAACAAGTCAATCCACCAATCGGATCGATGCATTGTATTTATCTTCATCGTCTCGGTCAATGGCGTGTGTGGATCCCGAGGACCGGGCATCGTCCGCTCCTGCACTGGCCCTGCACCTGTGCACACGGAGGGCCTCGCCTCCTCGTCGCGCAGATTTTCTGCAGAAACGTCGGGAGCTCCCACGTCTTCTGACACACATCATCTTGCCTCTTTCCACATTTCTGTAAACACATAAAATGTAACAGCTCAGAAGGCAAAGAACACTGTAGAATCTCCTGAAGACTCCACCTCAGCGGAGAGTGAAGGATGAGAATTCTTCAAAGATTTTGAAATGAGAAGCGCAGTGGGGTGGGGGGGGTGGGTCCTGGGCCTGTGTCGTGGGCCCCCACCGCACGGCGTGTCCCAGGCAGCACACAGGGAATCAGCATCCACACGGGATTAATAAAAGCGCACCCTGATTTGATGAAAGGGCTTCTGATCCCTGAACTGCTCCTCTAAAAGAAATTTAAAGTGTCTGGGAATACGGGGCATCATCTGCTGGAATGCCTTGTGAAGCTGGAAAAAGGGGAGCAGGAAAATATTTGTCAGTTCAAAAGCTTTTTGATGTCTGCTGCCCGCCGCCCCCCCCCACCATCCCCGCAAAAATAGTGCAGAAAAAGTGCCCTTTCTTTCCCTGATTCCAGTCCGCACAGAGGCCCCTGCTGGGGGGCCAGCACACAGTAGGCCCGCTGCAGGGACGTGCTAGAGAAATGAGTGTGAAGTTGTGTCACACTGCGGACCACGGAGCACCTGCACTTTTTCCTTTATATTTTCACATGTGAAGCACCTGTGTCCCCTGGCTGCCTTACTGGGCATGGAGGGAATTTTATTCTACGCAAAGGCTCCGGAGACCAAGGGATGGGGTGTATGTGCACACACACGCGTGTGGCGACCTTCTCAGAAGGGTCCTGGATCCCCCGCCTGCCTGGGGTCCTGAGGAAGGCGCGTAGATCAGGCTGTGGCCGCAGCCCCCCCCCCCACCCTCTTCTCGCCCAGCCCGCCTGTTGTCTGGGCACCAAGAGAGTCGAGAAACATTAGTGTGTGGACCAGCTGCCTAAGCGGGGCGGGGTCTAGGGAGAGGTCAAGGTCGGCGGAGAGGCGGCTATTGATCCGGCTTGGAACGCGAGACAGGGAGAGCAGCAAGACTAAAGGGGGAGCTGTGAGACCAGACATTAACAGCTTTCTGCGCTAATGGTGCCCGTGCCAGACGGGCAGAGGGAAAAAAAGGAGACTGGAGCGGCAGCTGGGATTGCTTGCTGCCTGCGCCTGGCTGCCTCTCCGGAGAGAAAGAGGAGGAGGAGGAGGAGGAGGAGGAGGAGGGCGAAGGGGCCAGCCCTGGGCTGGGCAGGGCCAGGGCCGCCTCTCCCCGGCCGCCGCGAGGTGGAGCGCGCCGGCGGGCGGTGGCGTGTCCGGCCCTGCGCCGGCCGGCCCGCCCGCGCGTCCCTCTTCCCGCCGTCGGGGCAGCGCGGGGCCAATGAGGAAGCGCTCCTCTGTCTGTCGCGGCCCGTGCCGCCCCCTGCCCGCTACTTCCTGCCGGGGTGGGGCGGAGGGTGCCCCCTCCCCAGCCCTGGCTGCCCCGGCGCGCCGGAGGTGGCAGCTGCTGCCGGAGGCCCCCGAGCACCCCGCGCAGTCCGCGAAGGGGCCTCTTTCTTGAAGGGGGCTGCCGCGTTCCCTGCCCAAACTCACCCCCCTTCCTTGTTATCGACCCCCGGAGGGTGAGGGTCGGTGGTCGGGATTTCGGGCGGCGGGGCGCAGGCAGGCCCAGACGATTTGAGTCCAGACCCGCCCCCACGCGCTGTGTGACCTTGGGCAAAACGCTAACCCTCCCTGGACTTCACAACGCCAATTCTCAGAAAGAGAGCTAACTGCTTTCTCAAATTTAATAATTGGGCGAGTTGGGATGGCCGGTTTATGGTTTTCTTAAGAAGTTTATTGAAGGTGCGTGTGGGCATTTTTTCTTATTTAGGCCACTTTTCTGGAAAGATTTTCGTTGTGGGGCGGCATGCGAGGAGAAGGCGGTGCTTCCAGACTTTGGACCACGTGGAGGTGGGGTGTGGGTTGGGGGTGGTGAGCAGCTGCGTGTAGTCCCGGGGGAAGAGGTGGGGAATGCCGACTCGCCCTACCCCACCCCCCTCCACCCGCTGTGCGGGCGACCCTGCAGTCTATCTGAAATGCTACATGCTAGGGCACATTTTATTGTTATTATTGGGGGGGGCGGAGTCATTTGGGCAGGGAGCTCTTTCTGTCCTCGCTAATGGGCGCTGCGCGCTGTTAAGCTGTTAGTGTCGTCGCCCCACCTAAGACCTTGGGGGCGAACCCAAACCCGGTGTGCCCCCGAAGGAAGAGGCCCTGAGGGCGGCGGCGCGCCCGGAGGCGTCACAGCCCACCCCCTCGTTCGGTGAAGCCGCCCAGGCCGGGCCTGGGGGTGGGGTGGAGTGGGTGCAGCGAGGCTAGCCTGCCAAGCCCAGCCCGCAGCCAGGCCCCGACCCGCCCCGGCCTCCTCCCAGCCGGGACCAGAGGAACCCTGAGAAGGGAGAGCGCTCTAGCCGCGTGGTGGCCCAGCCCCGGGGATCAGGTCATCAAATAGACAGAACTGGCCGCGGCCTGGGCCGGGAAGGGGCCCGTCCACGCAGACCATGGCCTGACCTCGTCCCTGGGCCACGGTCAGGCCCCCGCCACTCATCCTGTCCTCACCGGCTGGAGACCGAACGGGTGACCAGGCAGTTGTGTCCTTCCCTCTCTGACCGGCGATTTCAAGTCTTGCCCTGGGCGGAGGAACTTGGGGGGAGGGGTCGTTTTTCCAGGTCGCAGTAATTGTCAGGGTGGGAGGGGATTGGGGGACCGGAGGATCTTCGGAGATCTGGCCGCTCCTACTTTTGGGTCAGCGTGTATAGGTTCCTCTCCCACGTGGAGCACCTCTACTCCGGTACCCCTACGCTTCCCACAGACCCTAAGAGGGTGGGGAAGTGTCTGACCCCGAGGAGTTACGGGGGGTGAGGGGGTGGGAGCGCACAGATCCCGGCGAACACGCCTTCCGGAATGGGACTCAGACAAGGTCTCACGTTCCTCCTCCCCCCAGCGTGCTCTTAATCCTCTTCCCTTGGTGTCTTTCATTTTGTCCACTGGGCTCTCCCAGCGTTTGTAGTATCGGGATTTGCAGGGAGACACTTTTTGGAAGTTTAACCCCATCCCCCAGTAAAACAAAAAGTAAAAACAACCAAGCTACTTTCCGCGGAGATAAAGCAGTTGACCATCTCCCCCAGTCGCGGTGCCCACCCCAACCCTCTCCCACAGCAACCCCTCCCTCGCCCCCCGCGGTCCCCCGCAAGTCCGAAAGACCTTTCGGTGGGCGGGTGGGGACTGGCGTAGATTCAACTTCCACACGCACCGCACTCCGCCCCCCTCCTCAGGGGGTCCTGTTCCCTGGAGGGGAGGAGGGACAAGAGGATTTTCTTTTATTTAAAAATGTCCTGCCCAGCGTCCTCCTCCCCCTTCAGCGCTGCCCGTGCACGCGGAGGAGAGTAGTGCACAAAACGCCGTTTGCACGTGTGGCCGGCCTGGACTGCGGGTGTGCGCACGGGCGAGTGTGTGTGTGGGTGTGTGTGCGCGCGCGCGCTCGGGAGAGTGTGTCTCTGTATGTGTGTGTGTGCTTTCTTGTTCTCTTACAGGGTACAATGTTAAAAAGCCACCGCTAGTCGCCCCCAGTGCTCCGACTCTCTGGGTCTTTTTGTCTCTCTAGTGCAGATTAAACGTCACGTCCGCACTTGAACTTGAATTTTATCCCATTGTACAGAGGCAGCCCCAGCCATAGAGAGACCGAGAGCTCCCAGAGAACCCGGACTCCGCCATCTTCACGTTGCAATCTATAGCTCCCAGTCCGCGCCCGCACCGACCCAGGCGCACTGGGCGAGCCGCCCCTCGGCCCAGCTCCCCCCGGGCCCGCGGCGCCAGGGGAGCGCTGGGGAGCGCTCGCGGGGACCCGGCAGCCTCTCCGGCCGGCGCCAGCCTGCCAGGTGAACTGGGAAGGAGCCGATCCTGGAGTCCCCCCAGAGCCTCGGAAGGGTCAGTCTCCGAGAAAAAAGCAGGCAGCCCGCAGAAAAACCAGAAACAAGCAAACCCGGGCAGTTTTACATTGCTTCGGTTTTTTTTGAGGGGGCGGGGTGAGGGGGTACGAGACAAGTCCCCAAGTTTTCTTTGCTTTCTTTTCTTTTCTTTTTCTTCTTTTATTTTTTATTTGTTTGCATTTTTTCCCTTTCCCCCTCTCCTGGTAGAAGTGCGCTTTCCACCTACCAGACCCTGAAAGAAACTGTCAGGAGCCGGTGCAAAATCCGGTTTAGTTCAAGAAGACATTTGGAAGTCCAGGAGGCCAAGCAGTTTGAAGAAGTGCAAAGGATTTTTTTTTTTTCATTCTAAAGAACATATTTTTAAAGAAACTGGCCAGTCTGCGGCAAGCAAGCAACAGCGGATTTTTTTTTTTTTTTGCCTCTTTCTCATATTTTAGATCGAGGGTTTTCTTTCCTTTTTATTATCTTTTTCTTTTTGCAAACAAAACAAAAAACAGCATAGAAGAAAGAGCAAAATAAAGAAGAAGAGGAGGAAGAGAGGGCAAGAGAGGAAGGGGGGAAAAAAAAGCCAAAACACCAACCCGGGCAGAGGAGGAGGCGCGGCGGCGGCGGCAGCGGCGGCGGCAGCGGCGGCGGCGGCGGCGGCAGCAGCTCGGACCCCCTCCGCCGGCTCCCCTCATCAGAGCAGCTCTCCGGGCGATGCCAGAATAGATGCCGGGGCAATGTCCCGCCGCAAACAGGGCAACCCGCAGCACTTGTCCCAGAGGGAGCTCATCACCCGTAAGTGTCTGCGGCGTGCGCGCGAGGGGCCGGAGGATGGGGCTCCGGACGCCCGGGGCTGGGGACACCGAGCCCGGCGCAGCCAGGCTGGGCGCCCCGGCGGCCCGCGAGCTCGCGGAAGCAGCGGCGTCGGCCCAGAGCCTGGTGGGGGACCCGGGGGGCCATAGGAAAGTTTCTTTGCAGCCCGGGGAGTCGGGGCGCTGCGCAGTCAGACGCGCCCCAGGCTCAGGGGCCTGCGGAGCGGGTGCTGGGCCGGGGAGGGGAGGCGCAGGCTGGAGGAGGTGTGTAGGTGCGCGCGGAGCCCGGCTGGACCCTAGCCCCTCCGAGCTGCGTGTGTGGCGGCGGCGGCGCTGGTGGCGGGGTTTGCAGAGGAGGGGGAGGGGGCTGGCGGAGAGGAGGGGGAGGGGGAGCCGGGAAGTGGGGAAAAGTTGGCGAGCGCGTGGGTCCGCGCGGACGGCGCGGGCGGAGGAGCGCGGGGTGCGCTCAGGGCTGGGGGAGACGCTGGTCGCTCGGCAGCCGTGGTCCCCGAGGCTCCCGGCCGCTGCACCAGGCCGGGCAGGGCTCCGGCCGCGCGGGTCCTGGGATTCCGCAGCCGCTTTTCTCGCCCCTCCTCTTGCTATTTGCGAAAGAATCCAGCTGCGCGGCTGTTTGCCGGGCTCTGGCAGAACCCCCCACCCCCCATCTCCCCACCTCCGCGGTCTCCTGGGATGATCTCTTCTTTCCCCCCACTCCAAAAAAAAAGGTGGGATTGGGGGCTGATGAAAAATCCTCGCCATGGCGGGGTGGGGGGGGAGGTTGTCAGCTAGGAGTGGGAAAAGAGGGATGTGCTTGTAAAATAGTAGTAAAAAAAAAAGAAGAAGAAGAAAAAAAAGGAGAGAGACCTATCCATTTCTTTCCCACCCTTCTTTCTCAGTATCTTTCATCTTCTGTATCTAAATAAACAAGGCAGGTCGCAGTGGAAATCCATGGGCTGAAACCGTGTGGGTTTCAAGCCGATGGCGGGGCGGGCGAAGTCAGGCAGAGGGGCAGAGAGTTGGGCTGACCCAGCGAAGGGAGAAAGCGGGCGCGGGCGCGGGCGCGGGCGGGCCAGGATCGGGGTTTGCCGCGGAGCTCGCCCCGGGTGCCTGCTCGGCTGCAGCCCCGGGAAGGTCGGCTCGCGGCGCCACCCGCTCGCCCGGCCCGCCGGCCGGCCGGTGCTTCGTGGCGCGCGAACATTTCCCCGCGGTCCTGGCTCCCGCGGCGCCTCGGTCGCTGTTGCTATTTTTTAAAGAAATTTTTATTGCGGTAGAAATAAAACATCCTCTGGGTGCCATCGAGACCGCGGGCAGGTTGTGTTGCTGCAGTCCTCCGGGCACCCCGGGCTGGGGCCGGGCTGGCCGAGCGGAGCTGGAGGGGACTGCGCGCCCAGCCGCCGCCGAGGACTGGCTGTGGGGCGGCCGAGAGCCGAATATTTATGTTATATTTTAAAAAAAATTTAAATAAATAAATAAATAAATATAGATATATATATATAAAGGGGTTCTCCCCTCCCCTGAAAACCCAGCATAGGAGCCATCTGCTCTGAGCAGTTGCTGCTGCCACCACTCCTTTGTTACAGCAGAGACCTTAGTAAGAATTTGTGGATTTATTATTTTTTGGGGGGGGAGGGGAATAGATATTAAAGTGGGGTTCGCCTTGGGAGAGGGATGCCTTTGGAGGGAGGGGTGAGGACTGCCTTTTTATTTTTCACCATGCCATCGTGAAAGGAGACCCGCTGGTTGAATTGAAAACGGAATGTTTTGCAACCAGCTCTGAGCCTGGTTTGACCCAGTCTTCTTTTTGGCCAGTTGACATTTGGTCCTTGACCAACAATCAATCGCTTATCCCCCTGACCCCCGCCCCCCCAGCCTTTAGATGGTGGCGTGGTTGTCAGAAGGTCTGTACTTGCAGATGCCTAATTTCTCCAGGAGGCAGTTTGCCCCACGTAGCTTCTGTATAATTGCAAGAGTTGTTTTTGAGGAGGGGGACGTTGGGGGCGGGGGGCGTCGGGGAAGGGGGAGTCGTCAGGGGTGCACTGCTAAGCTAGCAGCTTCGGAAAAGCAGCCAGGCGTGTTTGCAGTTGTGTGTCAGGGGGAAGAAGCAGGTAGGTTCCCTTGGCTTTTGCTCTCTCCTCTTCTGGCATTCCTGGGACCTCAGGAGAAAGCCCCGACCAGGAGAACTGGTGGCAGCTGGGTGTGTGTGGGGGGGCGAGGGGTGCCTGGTGCGCCATCCTTTCCAGTTTCATCTGTTCTGAGTCTTTCTCATCCTTGCTCCGGGTGCTGCTGGGGAAAGCCAGCGCCGAAGCAGTGGCAGGGGGAAGAGAGGCAAAGGGGAAGGGAGGTGGGGACAGGGAGGCAAGAGGGCAAAGGGTATCCCGCCTGCCTCTCAGGGCACAAGGAGCCCAGTGCACGTGCAGGGGTTGCAGCGGGGAGAGTGGTCCAACCAGTTTCCAGACAAGGCTATTTATTATCAAAAAGCAGCTGGCTTCTCTGTCTGTCCTGTGTCACCCGGGTGGTGGGAGGGCAGGCAGGGGAAAGGCAAGAACTGGGTGCCGGTTAGGCTGCGCGGCCTGCGGATGCACTCCTCCACGACGAGGTTGAAGGTGCTCTGGGGTCCTGGCCGGCGCCATGGGTGCCGTCAGAGCCCTCACCTGGGGCTCACATTTTAGATTTTAAATGTGGAAGAAACCACCTACAACTCCGTGCAGCTTCAGCTGGGCGGCAGCCCGCCGGCCTGGGGAGCAGCAGCCTCGGGTTCTTGGGGATGATGCAACCTTAGATAACTGATGGTCTGGGGAACACCAGGAGCACACACACGGCCTCGGCGATCTTGGGGTGGGGGAGTGGAAGGCCTCCTTGATGAGCAGGTTAAATGTACAGACAGGGCCAGGGAAGAGAGGAGGGAGGGATGGAAGAGTGTGGGAGACAGCTGGGGAGGAAAACCTGGGCTTCTGGTTTGTTTCAAATGTTTGACCCAGATGGATATGGCTTTTCAAATCGAAGGACAGACACAGCTATTAATAAAAACAAACAACAACACAGTGACACTGGTGAAGAGGGGAGGAAGGGGGACAGCGATGACCAGGCGGAGGGAAGGGCCGCAGGCCGGCTGTGCTGGGGCGCGTGGACAGGGGTGCGAACACCCGTTCCCGAGGGTGCTGAGGCTTTCGTAAGAGAGTGTGTCGGTGGTGAATAACACCACCCCGGCGAAGGTGATTTTTCGACAACCCACCAACAGGTTTCTTGGGAAGATGAGCAATTTTCCGTCTGAATTCACGGTTTTGCAAAACAACTAGAGACCTAAAATTTGACTCAGAAGTTAGGCTGTGTTAAGTCCATGGGCACCTTTAAATTAGATTTTGCCGTAGCTGGTAGCTGTATGTTTGGAAGACGGCAGGCTTGGCTCGCAAGGATCCCCACTCCCAGGGGAAGGTAGTATACCTCCAGTTGCCCACAGATCTTTCAAAATCGGGCCTCCAATAAATTTCATCAGATACAGGCCCCCTTTTTCTGGTAGTTGGCAGGGCTGGGGGTGAAGTTCGTCTCCCTTCTGCACAGAAGGAAACCCCATATCATTAGAAGTGTGATGTAAGTCAGCTGCTCCGATTCCACGGGAGAATAAAACACGCTCATCAGAGGTGTTATGCCAGGCTGGTTTTATTCATTTGTAATTCACACCTGAGAGAAGACAGCCGGGAGCACATTTTAACAACCCCCTAATATTTTTAAAGGGTATTCTTTGCCTCCCTGAAGATTACGTACTGTTGCAAATTTTCTTTTTATTTTATTTGTTTCTTTTTTGAGGGGGAGAGTTGGCTCTCTGCCTGTGCTCTGGCCCTGGTGATCTTTGGTCTTCAAAATACTTCCTCACAGGAGAGGAGTGGTTTCTCCAGGCTGGAGTGAACGCGGTGGCTTTGGGGAGCCTCCCCTTAGGCAACAGGGAGGCAGGCCAGGTCAGAGGGGGGGTGGGGCGCAGTGCTTTGCTGACCACCGTGCAGGACCCAATGGGTCCTCCTGACGGGAGCAACGGCCAACTCTGAGCGCATCTGACGGTGATCAGCGTTCTGTCTCCGTGAAGGTGGAGCAGGCAAAGCAGCCCCTTTGCAGACACCAGCTGCTGATGGCGGAGTGCATCGGTTCCCAGCGCCTTATCAGGATACAGCTCTTGGCGCTGGTTTTTCCCTTAGAACGCGGCATGCACCAGCCTTCCTTTTTTTTTTTTTCTTTTCATCTCCCTTCTCCATCGCTTTGCAATCGCTGTTGCTTGTTGTGATAAAAGACTTTCCAAAATAAACTTTCAGTTGCATTGGCTTCTGGTGGATGGCAAGCAAGCCTGACGAGCTGCGCTGCGCCGCGCCTGGCGCCACTTGGCAGCTAGGGGGCGCTCGGCGCCCGTGTCATGGCTCGGCGCCTCGGCTCCGAGAGGGGCTGGGACCGGCCTTCTGTCGGCAGCCCGGGCCCTTTGCGAGGCTGCAAAATGTCTTAAGTGCGAAGTTGTAATATTGATTTTCCTGCAGGGGTTTGAGCGGGGAGAAAATCAGAATATAAGCTTTCGAATCTGGTTTCAAGCTATCAGTATCGATGTATCAGATAGGCCCGTCCGCGGCAGATGGGGGCTTTTTTTCTTTCTCCTAAAGAAAAAATAAACAATTAAAACGGTTAGTTTTGAATGGCGTGTCGTGCTGCGCCCCCGCCCCTGATTAACCTGTGGCATTGACTTCCTGAAAATCCCTTCAGGTTGCCGAGGCATTCCTGACCCCGAGAGGGGGGCCTGGGAAGAGGTGCGTTACTCTGTCCCTTCCTGGGCTGCCGGTCACACAGTCAGGGGACAGCCGAGGGGATCGGAGCTTTGGGGAATCGTGTCCCTAAAACAGCTCGATGAATGGAAATCCTTTTAGCCCAGATTTTATGACCCTTGGGTTCCCAATTCCATGTATTAGGTAATGTTCCCACTGCACTAAGGGAAGCAGCCCCGTTTCCCCC